TGGGGAGCAGGCGATGGGAGAGGAGAATCGGCTGGGGAGGCAGTCAAGGCTGACGGTGGCAACACCAAAGCTGGGTTGGAAGAGAGACGAGAGGAAGTTAGCGGCAGTGCTTGGCTCACGCTGAAGAAGAGGGGCTTGCCCCTGGAAACACACATGCCAGGAAGTTCCGTGTCCTTTGCCCCGTCAAAGCCAAAAGCGTTGGCCGGAGTGCAGTTCTTTGATCCTGGCTCATGCTGCTGCCTGACGACCCCCTCCCCAGTCAGCAGGGCTTTACTCGGATAGCTGGGAGTGGAGTTCTTCTGAACCTTGCTGCTGCTATCCCAGTCTGATGCCCCAAGGGGGAAAGGTGGCTTCTGGCTGGCCAGCTTCCTTGACAGCTCAATTCGGTCTTGGCCGGGCATTGCGGAGGTGAGGCGCAGCTGCTGCCAGGCCTTCTTTATGTGCTGCCTCTGTTCTGCCCCTGGATGGCACCCAAACGAGAGCTGGTTCCCAGCAGGGCTTGGGTACACGGTTGAGCTTTGTTCCACGGGAGGGTAAGCCTTCTTGCCTCCCTCCCAAGACTGCAAGAGCCGGGGTTGGGCCTGCACAGTAGTGGGAAGGCTCTTCTCAAAAGGCACTGAGCCCAGGCTGGCAGCACTGGCCGTGGGGTCGCCATAAGGCTTGTTCTGAAAGTGCACTTGGGGTAGAGAGACCTGTGGCATGTTCCTTCTCAGAGCACCACTGGGATCCAGTATCCTTTGACTAGCTACGTTGTCTGTCAACAAGGACTGCCTCTTCCCGATCGGCTTTGGCAAACTAGAGACGTGTAAACTGGGTGGGAAAACGCCTTGGTTTTCTTGGAAAGTGCTTGAAGTTTGGTCGATAGCACCAGAAGGAGAGATAGCACCATTGTGGTCAGTGGAATGTTCATTCCTTCCTTTGTAGCAAGGCAAATGCCCTTGAGTCTGTGACGAGAGGAAGGGAGCCTGTTGAGGAGCCAACCCGTACATCCTGCCCTCCGGGCCAACGTGGTCGTAGGAGCCACCGGCGAGAGCTTCCTCTTTCCATTCCCTGGAGGAAGGATGGAAGGCAAAAGCACCATGAGAAGCCTGACTGGCGGCCAGCGACACATCGATGTAATCTTGAGCATTAATGCTGCCTTGGAAAGGGTCCGCAGCAGAGCTGTGCAAAGTCTGGAAGGGGTACTGGAATGACAAGGGCCCCACACAGTGTGCGCTAGGTTTGCTGCTCTCGGGGAACAAGGGGCAAGCTTTGGGGGCAGAGAGTCCATTATTAGCACCTGGGAGGCTTTTCTCTGGCAAAGGCCACGAGCTATTCCCATTATCCTGGAACTCCACATAATGCAGCTGCCCGTTGGTGCCAGAGTTTTCATGAGGAACACCAGCTGGCAGCTGAAGCTTTGCGCCATGGGCTGGGCGCGCGGTTGGTGTCGGGGAGGTAAAGTTGCTGGAGATATGGCTTGAGGGGGCCTCAGGAAAACACCGTGTGAAACTGAGGTCTTCCTGCTGCAGTTCTACCTCTCTCTCGGGGATGCTGGGGACGTGGAACCTGTAGCTCCCCGAGATGGGTCCCCGGCCCACTTCGACCTTCTTGGGCGGGGTGACCTTCTGCTGGGGATAAGCAATACCGATTGTGGGGTTTGGTCTGGCATTGCTGATAGTAAGTCTATAGAGCTGCTGGTGGCCACGCTCTCCTTTTCCGGACCGCTTGTTCTTATCCCTCGCTCTGCTCTTTCCAGGGGGAGACTGGGGGCTTCCTTTGACAGAACCCCAAGGGCCATCGCTAAGGAACTTGGGCCTGTTGTGGAGGGACTTGAAGTCTATCTTGCCTGCTTGCTGAGGCCGGATCACAGCTTCCCTTTGATTGTGCGGCTCCTTGTCCTTGACACCAGTGAAGCTGGACCCATTCTCAGTCCCAGTGTGGAGACATGACTCTGAGCCTTCCTGGAGCTGACCATCAAATTCGCCCACGTCTTTCTTGCCAAATTGCTCAAAGCCAGTATCTTTGTCTTGGGCGCTGGGCTCAGTATCATTGGTGGCATAGGCATGCTGTGTCTCTCCCATCATGGTACTAAGGACCAGGCCTAAAAGGAACTGGTTTCCTTCAGCCCCTCAGCATGGGAGTCCTCCATGGCAACCATCATCCCTTCTTCTCCAGCAGCTGTGAGGCACCTCAACCTCTCGGACAGCTCCCAGTTCCATCCTGGCTATGGGGCAGGACTTGCGTAAGAGGCCTGTTGGGGGTTCATCTCAGGATTCCACATGGGACCTGCAAGAGAGAAAAGCCTCGTGAGATTCAGCAGCTCTGCAGTCTCATATTACAATGCTCAAATATTTAAACGTTTACAATATATGGTGACAAAACCCAAGGACTAAGGCTGCTTCTCCCTGATAACAGAATGTAAGCAAAAACATATCAAACTCATGTCCAAGACTGAAACTTTGCTTGAGATTGGTTGATTCCAGGAATCAGCAGGGTGCTTTGAGGGAAGAGTAGGCCATGTCAGGAAATGGACAGAGTCCCCTGTCACTTACTGCCTACTGGGGTTAGCACTGGCCCCAACCTGGGTGAGAACCAGGGAACTGTGTTACCCAAGAGGCAGAAAAAGCACAAGCTCAGGGCAGCAGCAAATGAGAATTTTTTGAAATAATCTGACAATTGGTTTTGGGGTTTTTTAAGCATCACAGGAAAAATCTGAACTTTCTAAGACTTCCCTAGCCTCCACATTCTTTCCCTACTTTTTTGTTCTATTTTTCTGTTCTATTTTATTACTTATCCCCACCTAAACCAGGAGTGGGGTGTCCTACTAACACAGGTGGAAATAATGCCAGGAAATCAGATTCTGTCAGGTGCTGCACATGAACTATATGCATGCACATTTCAGCATACATGTATCATTTGTGTCATTTTGGGGGGAAATTATTTTATAATTTACTATTGTTTGTATTTTGAATTACTTATGGGGGGGAGTGCCATAATATTTTCAGCACTTAGGGCCTCTCCATCCGGCCCAGGTGCAAACAGTAGGAAGGACCAAGCTTCTTTGTGCAAAAGTACCTTTGAGAAACCCAAGCTGTTTACAGGCCTTACAGGGGGGAAAGTCCACACTCCTGACAGACATATCCAGCTGCGGCAATCAGCCCCCCACTCCCACCCCCACCAGCATCCCTCCAGCACTTCAAAGGTTATTATAAGTAATTTACCTCTGGCTAAAACCTGCTGAGGGTGGCATTTTTATTGCCTTAAAACGATATTTCTCTTAGCAGGAGCAGATGACAGAAGTGCCCCGCCTATGGCTTATAGTCAGGGGAAAGCTCTACCTTTGATTTCTTAAGCTGGGCTCTCTGGATTTCTCCCTTCACCCCCACCCCACCCCCCAGATTCTCTCCTGGCACCGATCATCGTTTTATGTCCAGAAACAGCTACTCTGCCCTTTTCTTCTGCTTGATTGCTGGCAGCTGAATGGCAGCACAGCCTCCGCTGGTGCAAGGCCTTGCACAGAAGGTGACTTGACTTGCATGCAAAAGTGAAGGACACTTGCAGAGCCCGGCAGCACCTACATGGGGCCAAAGGGGGTCTCCTCTAGTTCAGCATCCTGTTCTCACAGGAATGCTCCAATGGGGTGCCTGTAAGCAGCACATGAGCACCAAGGGTCTCTTAGTCTGTGATGTTACGACTGTGGGATTGACTCAAATACATGTGCCAGTCTTGGGCACTGGGCACCCATGTGCGCAAAGATGGGCAGGCCCCAAAATGCAAAAATCTGGATATGGGGCCTCAGAGGGGCACATAATATGTTTTATTGCATGTTGACCTTTTTTTGGGGGGGGGGAAGACAATTTCTGAGATGACATGGAAGATATTTCAGGGTCATTTGGGGCTTCCCTCTTTTCCAGGATTAGCCAACATAGTAACCTCCAGATGTTGGATGACAGCTGTTGAAAGGCCAGCTGTGTTACACAAGGGAAGCCACAACCACCTGGATGTTTGATGCTCAAAGGAGGGTCCCATAGTGACAGACATGATTTTCATGCAAAAGGTCCCAGGTTCAATCTCCAGCATCTCTGGTTGAAACCATCAGGCAGGAGGAGATGGGAAAGGTTTCCTTCTGACCTTAAAGAGCTGCTTCTGGTCAGAGCAGACCAGTGGTTCACTCTGGGGTGCCTTGAACAATGGTCAAAGGAGCCGTGGACTAAAAAAGGTTGAAAACCTTTGGAGTAGACCAAAAGTTGTAAGGATCCAATGGCCTGATTCAGCAGCTTCCTGTGCTTATTATATGTCACATCTACACTATGCACTTAAAGCTCTTACACCAGAGTCATGTTTTCCTCCAAAATATCCTTGGAATGGCAGCTAGTTCTGGGTCTTGTAAGAGCCCTCAGCACCCTTAACAAGCTATGGTTCCCAGGATACTTTCGGGGGTGCCATAACTGTTGAAGTGGCATATGAGTGCATGGAATGGATTTGACCACAGGCACGTGCATTTACATCATGCAACCAGCTGAGGGCTTTTGCCTGAGCAAAGCAGTCCTGCCCACTGCATCGAAAGGCCTGCTTTTTGAGATACTGTATAAGTAACCCCTCTCAAATTTATTTATTCTCTTTTACTAAAGAGACTCCTGTTATCAATCTTGTGAGAGTCTCTGGCTTAGTCTCCTGATTGGCCCAGAAATAGCACAAAGCAGGGTCTTGAGGAGGCACTCAAAAATGTGTAGGCACTGTATGGTGAAATCTCAGAAGCCAAAGAGATTGCTAAGTAAGATTTCTGGTCATCAGTGGGTTGGGGCTGCCCACACTCTTTCAGCTTAACTTTGCAATCTTAAGGACTAGCACCTTAAAACAAGAAATAAATACGGATGCTCAGGATGCTAAATTTTGCAGCCAAAATTGCACTGTGAGGTCACATGTTGTGATAATGGTAAAATATATGCAACTTGAAGCCACAGCTATTTGGAAAGTACTTCATGCTTCCTCTTAGCAAGGGTACCAGAGTTGAAGGGGAAAGACTGTAGCTTAGTGGTACAGCATCTGCCTTTCATGCAGAAGGCTCCAGGTTCAGTCCATGGCATCTTCAGGTGGGACTGCGAATGTCCCCAGCCTGAAACCCTAGAGAGCTGCTGCCAACCAGTGTAGCTAGTACTGACCTAGATAGAGCAATGGTCCAACTCAGTAAGAGAACTTCCTATGGACATTTGCAGTGGGCATCAACTGCTTCATTTGCCCTTACTACAGGCTCAGCATTTGAGCGGGAGTAATTTGGTGCTAATTCCTCAGCTGACATTAACTTTAAGTGTAAAGCAAAGGTGCCAAAGCAGCTTAGATTGGTTATTTCCAAGTGTATTCTCCGGAAAGTTGGATTTTCTTTCAGCTCTCATTTTGAAGCTTGGGGGGGGGGGACATATGTGGGGCTGTCAAAATCTCCAGCTTGGCAACTGGGCTGAAGGACAAGTACTCCACCAAGAGTCTAACCTCGGCCACTTTCCTTCTTGCTGCTTCTACTCCCAGCTTGGGAACCAAAATGTTGCAGAAGGGGTTGCCTGAGGTCACTGGCCGCTGCCTCTTTGATCTGCCCATTTTATCAGCCCTGTCCATCAACCAGGACAGAGTCTGATGCAGCCTTGACAGCCTTAAAAAAACACAAAAAACCCCACCTCTCCACAGTTTCACACTTGGCTAAGCAAAATAAATCCCAGCCCGACGGAGGTAGCTGAGACGGTCCTATTGCTCTCCCTTTCTGCCAGCCAACAATGTGCCACTTATATGCCGTTTGGAGCCACGACGGGCAAGCCTGTTTACTGCTGCTGAAATTTGCAAAGATACCTTGCCAAGATAAAACAACCAACAAAACCAGAGCTAGTTACATTATCACAGTTGGGTTCACTCAGCCACATAAAGAAGGCCTTTTGGAAGGATTTTTTTTTTTAAAAAAAGCCTTCTTGTGGGGATTCAATGAAACTTGCAACATTTGCATTGCTGGGGCCTAGGGTGACGGCTGCATTATTGCAGGCAGCCAGAAGACATAAATGCTTGGCTTCCAACTCAAGCAGTTGATTCCATGAACGGGTAAGTGGAGGGTGTGTGGAAGAGAAACACAGGGAAAGATGGCAACATAGGGAAAGATCTGAGTGACAATGCATGCTCCTGGCTGCTTCACCGCAAAAAGGATGTTGTAGAGTTGGAAAAGATTTGGAAAAGGGCAACACAGATTATTAAGGGGATGGAGCGACTCCTCTACAAAGGAAGGTTGCAGCATTTGGGACTTTCTAGTTTAGAGAAAAGGCAAGTGAGAGGCGACATGATGGAACTGTATAAAATTATGCATGGCATGCAGAAAGTGGATAGAGGAAACTTTTTCTCCTTCTCCCATAACACTAGAACTCTGGGGCACCCAATGAACCTGAATGGTGGAAGACACCCAACAGACAGAAGAAAGTGCTTCTTCACACAGCGCATAGCTAAACAATGAAACTTAGTCCTACAGGAGGCAGTGATGGCCAACAAACTGGAAGGCTTTCAATGAGGATTAGACAAATTCATGGAAGAGAGGGCTATCGACTGGCTGCTAGCCATGGTGGCTCTGCTCTGCTTCCACAGCCAGAGGCTGTAATGTAATGCTGAATACCAGTTGCTGGAAACCACAGGAGGGGATAGGACTCCTGAGCTCGGGCCCTGCCCGCCGGTTGCCTAGTTGCCATCCCCGTGATCATTTCGCGCTGCCCTTTTCTGAACTTTTTTCCACTCTGACATCTGCACCAGAGTTAAAGACACCTGCCACTCTGGAAGCTGAAAAAGAAGCCTGGTAGCTGGGTGGATAAACCTGACACCCATGGATTATTCCGAAAGTATTCCCCATTGATTCAAACAATGGCACTTTTAGAATGATTCCAAAACATTCCCCATAGATGCAAGGAGGGGCCCGCAGCCAGCATGCTGAGGAGGGAGATGGGAGGAGGCTTCAGCCATCCAGGTGAAAAGGTGCTCAGTGCCTTTTCAGCAGAGAAAAAAACAGATCCCACGCAGCAGAAAAGTAGCCACTGAAATCAAAGCTGCCTCTGAGTGCCTCTTTGACTTCCTCCACCAACTTATTAGTTTTAAGCAATTTCCCCGAGGGGGGGGGGAAGGAAGGGAGGGGGGTTAATAATGAAGCAAACCCTTATATTTTGTGCATGACAAGTATACAGAAGACTGTTTGAGTGGCTCATCAAGATTTAAATTATATCCAGGCAGGTTAAACTGAAGCTTCTGAAACCAAAAGTTTGGCTATGGTTGTGGGGGGAAAAAATCACTTGTGAAATGGTTATTCCACCACAAATACACTCAATTGTTGTTGTTGGTGGTGGTGGTGTGTGTGTTTTTAAATCAGTCTACCCTTTAAAAGGCCCTGAATGGGGTTTTCTATTTTTTGATGGGCCCTAGAAGGAGAAATATATGGGTGAGAGGCGCAAGGGGATTATTCCAGTCTGCTGGGGGATTAAAAAAGAAATTCAGAACATTTGCTTTAAAAAGTCAAACAGCCCCTCCCCCTCCCACAGCCACCACTTGTCAACTCGCCATACCTTGGAAAACTTCCGTCACTCAGCTACTGCTGGGTCTCGGCTTAACTTCCTGTGAAATATGAATTTCTTGGCTGCAAGCAAAGTGAAAAATATGTCAGGAATTTTTGTTTGGCTTGGCTGCCATGGCCGCCACAGATCACAAGCTCATTCAAGCACCTTGCCAGAGCTGGACGTGAAAGGCGCGTTCTCCTCCGGCTGTGCTGTTGGACGTGCTGGGAATGGGTGCTCCCGGGAGACTAATGTACAGATGTGCTCGGCTGCCGGCTCCGAGTGATTCAGCTGAGCTGGCTTCTCAGCACACACTCCACAGGGCAGTTCAGAGGTGCTGGCTGCCCATTCTCCCTTGAATCTGACAGTGGCTGCCATTTCAGAGCATCTATCCTCAGCACAGGCAAGGGAGACCCGGAGACTGATTGATTCCCAGAGCCACTTCCAAAGTCTTTAGAGTGAAATCAGGGCAGCCATGGCTGTCCCAGCTCAGAGAGAGGGATGTCCTTCACAGGCAAAGCTGTCCATTTCAGATTCAGTCTTTACAAAAATCTGTCAGGTTTTTTTAGTGTACATTTATCCTAATTTACACATTTTTGTATGCGATTTTAACTAGTGTATACATCTTTTCCAGTCACTTTTTGCATTTTTTGTATCTTATATGCACTTTTATACATCCTTTCCCCTAATATTATATGTATTTTGGTTCACTCTTTCGGAGGAAGGGTTTGCAGAACTGCATCACAAAATTCAGAGAAGGAATTTCAGATGATGGGTGACTTTTGAGACTGAGCATGTATGCCAGTCTTCGCTCCTCACACTTAATGCCTCTCCTGGTAGACAGGGGGAAGGGAGCTTCCCACAGCAGGAGGGAGAGGCAGCTGTGCCTCTTCACCAGACTGACTCATCTCCCCCCACTCTCCTACTTCAGCTTCTGCCTCTTGGACTTTTCTCTGCCACAGACTCCCCCCACTCACTAAGTCCTGTTACCACTTCAGCTTCCAAGACCTCCTCCTCCCAGTCTGCTCTCTCTTCTCCCTCTGACCACTCATCCTTGTCCCACCACCAATTCCTAGGCTCAGAGCCATCTTCCCTCGGGGGTTCCCCAGCTCGTTCCCCCAACCATTCCTCTGCATCCAACCAGTCTGTGGCAATCATCTAGTCCAATCTTGTGCAGTGCTGGAACCACAGCTGAGTAATCCCTGGCAGATGGCTCTGTCTAAAAACCTCCAATTAAGGAGTGTCCTCCACCTTTTAAGGAAGTCTGTTCTGCTGCCAAACAGCTTTTGCTGTCAGAAAGTTCTTCCTAATGTTTAGGAACTTCACATCTACTTTTTTGACAGTGAGGAGGAGGAAGGTGGGATAGATGTGAGCAAATGAAGCTATATGCACATAAGTGTCACATACGGTGGGACTCAACGATAAATTAAGTAGCAGCTTAATTTGCCTCCTTGATACAGTCATCTGCTCTTTAATCGCAAACACACATCTCTCTTGTTAGGTATGTCTTGAACTTTAGATCAATTCATTTGGCTCAGGGCAATTATGAAAGGGTTTGTAGTGCACAGATCATTTTTCAGGGCTCTCGGCTTGAAGATTTTCTGCCAGCATTAAATTAATTCCTTTATTTATTTCAGAACCCCAAACCATAAAGAACTGTGTGCAAACAATTACATTTGGTACGAATGACACCACCCAACCGCTGCAGGTTTCGATATCGTACAGAAATTGTCTAGAGGCGCAGGATTGACTGCAACTCCTTTGAGGGACTGTAATAAAGACTGAGTTATTTTGACATTTATTTAAGAAATATTTATCTCTCATTTTGCTTCTAAATGCTGCCATTCGCTAAGGAATTATCTGTTACCTAAGTATGCTGATAAATCTTCTAAGGTAAAAGTATATCTCAGATGCTGCCAGGAAAGGTACATTTAAGAATGCTTCCTAAATTATCAGCTGCATTTATCTTAATTACTTTGGTAAAAGTAGAATCTGGCATTAGGGTGAGTTAAATTGAATGGGTGCTTGTCTTTATCATATCACATATTTGAGATCATTTAAGGGAGATAAAAGGGGCAGGACTTTGGTGGGGGTTGGGGGGGGAACCTCCAGGTGGCGTTCAAGGATGGGAAATAGCAAGGAGTGTGCTGGGAGGGGACCAGAGGGGCTGTGCTCAGGATATGCTCTGGTTCTTTTACCAAGGAGGTTCAAGTCCCTGCTCAGCCAAGAAATTTGCATTGTATCTTTGAAGCAGTCACCATCCCTCTCAGGTTAACCTACCTCACAGGGTTGTTGTGAGGATAACCTGGTCCCTACACCTGGGAACTATTATTTGAGCTTATGGCACTGTATTTTATACTTTCCAGATGCCATTAGAAGCCACTTTGGCACATAAGACATAAAATAATACTTTAGACCGATATTCTCTTCAGTTATTGTTGTTGGAAATGGCTAAACACGTGGGTTCATTTCCCCCCTAGTGGTTTCTTTTATTTTCCTTCAGGTGTGTTTTGTGTTATGAATTGCACATTTAACTAGGGGATGCCATCCCTGCCTGCTCTGCTGGCCAGCCCCATCTACCTGCCAAGCCCCTTTCCCCACACCTGGCCAAACGCTCCTCCCTTTATACCTGGCCACTTCTTCCCTCACCCCTCGTCCCTCCCTGCCCTTCACAGCTCACCCCAAGCCCTTCATCCTCTCACAGCTCACCCCAACCTCCAACCCCCTTTAAAGGAGGGTGGTAGGTGCTTCAGGTCTGTCAAACTGCTCTCTGAAGCAACCCCCCCCAATTAAACCATTCCATAGCCATGTTTAAAGGAGGAGGAGCTTCAGAGTGCAGTTTGGCAAGCCACTCTCTAAAGAGTCTCTCCCGCATGTGTTAAAAAGCTTGCCTGGCCAGCCACCTGCCTGCCTGCTGTTCTGTCATTACACTGGAGTTGGCACAGCCACCAATCAGCAGCCACACAAACAGCAGCATGACGACAACATTACATTTTTATGTATACAGGAAGACAAATGGGTTTTTTTTGTTTTTTGTTTTAAAGGTCCCTAGTGGGCTTTGGGCCAGTTACCCTCATTCTAACCCTATCTCACAGGGTCACTGTGAGGATGAAGCAGTCCTTTGGATCTGTAGGCTGTGTCCAACTATATCTGTAGCACAAAGCAGATGTGCTACCACGATACTACAGCCCTTCCCACCTAGGTCAGTACTGCCAGCACTGACTGGCAGCAACTCCCAGGATTTCAGACGGGAGTCTTTCTCTGCACTACCTTCATTCCTGCATTGCAGGGGGTTAGACTAGATGACCCTCAGGGTCCCTTCCAACTACAATTGTGTGATTCTACCTGTAGATGCCAAGGATTGAACCAGAGACCTTCTACATTCCAAGCAGATGCTCTGATACTGAGCCACGCCTATCCCAAGCTACGCCCATCCTAATTATGCTCCTATAATTTTTGCCAATTTTGTAAGTGAGCTTTCGTTGTTTCTCTCTTTGAGAACTTGTTTCTATAAAGCACGATTAACGAGCATTTCAATTGTGGTTTCATTACCCTATTAATTATTCTGACCCAGAAATTTAGCTCAAAATGTTATCAGCTTAAAATAAGGGAGGCGGAAATCAATTAAAATGATTATAATTTAGTCTACAAAAGAAAAGTTGACTTAAAAAAACATTTTAAACTGAATAAGCAGTTCCTGCAGAACCAGTCACTCTTTCATGCTCTCATCTCCCTCATAGGGTTGTTGCGAGGATAAAATGAGAAGGGGGGAAGCCACATTCACCACCTCAAGCTCCTTGAAGGAAAAAGTGGTATAAGAAGGTAATAGTAAAGAAGACCCAGAAAATTTGGGCAGAGGGGGGCAGGGCGGGCGGGAAGAACAGAGTTGCAATTGATACAAATTTCCAGCAGATGGCGCCAAAGCCAGCTGAATTGAATTTTATGCGGCTAGTGCAAACTTCGAAAAATTATGCGATTAGCCTTGTTAAAAGAAATCCTAGTTCACTAATCTGCTTTTTAATCACTCAGTTAGCAAATCAACTAATCAGAACCCCTCAACCAAAGTTTGAAATGAAGTTTCCACTATGGGAAATTGTGGAAAGTATTTTTCTATATTTTTCTATGCATTTTCACACGCACACACACCCAGAGAGAGAGAGAGAGAAAGAGAGAGAGAGAGAGGTTGCAATGATCTCTGTGGTCTCAAGACATCCACCAAGGCATAGTCTCAGAAACACGTAGGAACATTTGGGGAAAGGGGAGAATATATTCACCTTCCCCTCTCACATTGCCTCAGTGGTCTGAAATGTGCTTTGCAAATATGATTTAGAAAACTACACAACTGGGATTTGCAGGCCTGTCATTCATGGAACAGCTGCTAGGCAGATGCTGCCTGTCCTTGCTGGTCTCCTTGCCATCACAGGATGTTCTCTGCAGCAGCTGGTGATGGCATAGACACTCTTTTCGTGAAAAAGCTGCAATCCATGCAGTTAGCCACTATGCACAAGCAATGTCACAGCCTCTGCTGCAGACACACGGCTGGCCCAAGGCATTTTGCTTCCTGAGGCAATGGAAGATGATGCTCCCTCCCATGATACAAATGGCGTTTAATCTGACTTTGGTACAGGGGAGAGTGGGAGAGTATCTTTCTGTCCTTCAGCAACTCACCACCTCCACCCCCTTTGCACCTTCCATCTGACGCAACCACTTTACTCTGCGTAATGGTAGGGGTGGCCCCACAAAGGTCCTTTCAGCGGAAGTAAGTAATTTTAACCCCCCCTCCCACAGTGGAAATGGCTGTGGCTCAGAGGTAAAGCACTTGCTTTTCAGGCAGAAGGTTCCAGGTTCAATCCCTGGCATCACAACGCAGGGCTGGAAAAGAACCCCTGGAGATCTGCTGCCAGCCAGTGTCAACAATGCTTAGCTGTATGGGCCACTGGTCTGACTCAGGGCAAAGCAGCTTCCTGGGTTAAAGGATAGTGATAAGAGTCTGCTTTTCCTGCAAAAGGCCTCCGATTCAAGCTCAGCCCTGGACAGCAGCTGCCAGTCAGTGCAAACAGTACCGAGTTAAATGGGACAATGGGCTAACACAATATAAGGCAGCTTGCTGTTGTAGCGCACGGAGAAAAATCAGGTCTCCAGACGGAAGGCGTAATAACTCCCCAACCACCAATGGCTTGTCCTCAGATTTTCTCTTTCTAACCGCTTTTCCAGTTAGCATCCTCCTAGCATCCTTCGACAGTGGAATTTGCTGCCAAGGAGTGTGGTGGAGTCTCCTTCTTTGGAGGTCTTTAAGCAGAGGCTTGACAACCATATGTCAGGAGTGCTCTGATGGTGTTTCCTGCTTGGCAGGGGGTTGGACTCGATGGCCCTTGTGGTCTCTTCCAACTCTATGATTCTATGATTCTACTTCTTCTAATTTCTCCTGCGTTTAGGCAAGCGCAGCGCCAAGAGCGGAGGAACTCTGCGAGGAAGGAAAGCAGAGCCCCACACGAGGCCAGCGCGCACGTCACAGCTGGAAGGAAAGCTCTTAATGACAACCGTTTCTGAAAGGAATGCGAGGCCAGCCTGCCTGGGCGCTGGTGGATTTATGGCTCCAGTGCCCCCACTTCACCCTCTCCATGAAAGAGCAGAGTGTGCGGAAAGGAATTTGCGCTCCAGGTGATGGGGAAGTGCGGAGGCAGGGACCCTGCAGATCAAGCCCCTCTGAATGGCCTCCGCACCTGACTGAAGCCCTTCTGCCCATGGGGTTGGAAGAAACTAGATTGCAGAAGATGTTTGAGCAGGTCTTCAGAATCTACCCCACCCCCTGCCACCAAGCAGCCGTCAGAGCAGATGACAGCAATACACCTGGTGAAACGAGCCGGTGAAACCCATACATTCTGGGCTTTATTTTGGGACTCCGATATGTCAGTGCTGAAAAGAGACATGAACAATATTTAGCCTAAGGGTGGGGGTCCTTTCTCAGCCTGAGAGATGCATTCCTTTCTCGGCAACCTTTTGAGTAGTGGTCAGGGACAGAGGCCAGAGCAGGTGAACCAACAGATGTACATTTTCCCTTTGTACAGTTGCCTAGTTTCTTGTCTCTGTCTCTCCACCCTCCATCCAGCAGGGTCTTCTTATTAGGTCATTCCCTACTGCTGTGTTTGAGGCTTAATCGTCCTCCTCCTCCTCTTCTGGCCGTGCTTCCCCCTCTATATGCAGATAGGGGACAGGACAGAGCATGTGTAATATTTTTGCTGAGGCTGCCTCAAACTATCCCACGCATGTTTACTTCCCATCAAGTCAGAGCTGGTGGGGCACACTGACACCAGCACAAGCCATGCACACTCCTTCACAATAGGTCCAGCTGGACTTTGCTGAATTCCACATGAGGAACCAAGGTCTTCATTCAGACCGAGAGAATTCCCAAGCAGAGAGAAAAACAGAAAAGCAAACCCACAGGGTTGCCGTTTCATTTGACTGACAGTGGGAGCCTCACACTGGTAGTCTCTGGCATGCTGCGGCCCAAAGACCAAAGTGAGGAGAAATTCTGCCTAGACATTTCTGAGAGGTTTCAACTGAGAATCAGCTGAGCGGGGAATTTGGAGGAGATGCAGAACACACCTAGTGGGTGTCAAGAGGCAGGAGTTCTTGTCTATATTCAAGGCTTTTGTTCAGTCCAAAACCTTAAGCAAACGGACCCAATTTACAATTCCTGGACTAAAATACAGATCAGAAGAGTTACCCTTTGGTTTTCATACTCCTCTGTTCTTGCCTTTAAAACATAGCAAAATGGGTATATGAATAAAAATGGGTATTTTAAATTCAAATGCACACAAAGATGTATGCTGCAGGACAAAAATCAATCAAAAACTACAAAACTTTTTTACTTGGTTTCTAATCAAAGAGTGATATGGAAACAGAAATGTGAGAATGTTGCAAACTGTGTTATACTGGATCAGATTATTGGTGCATCTAGCTCAGTACAGTCTACACTGACTGGCAGAGGCTATCCAGGATTTGAAGCAGGGATCTCTCCCAGCCCTACCTGGAGATTGAACCAGGGACCTTCAGTGGATGCTCCACCACCACACTGAGCTGAGCTCCTTCCCCGAGGGATGGACTCATGCACAAGGAAAAACTGACATGGGCCAGGACAGAATGATCTGTCCATCTTTACTGTTCTTCATTCCAACTTGTGCTGATGCTCTAAACCAGCCTGCGGTCATCTAGATGTTATTAGATTACAACTCCCATCAGTGCAGTCAGCGGTCAGGGATGCTGGAAACTGGAGTCAAACGACATCTGGAGGGCCACTGGCCAACCACATCCCTGCTATAAACAAACTGGTTTGGCTATCTTTTCTTCTCATCAGCAGGACTAAATGCTAGGACTCCCTGTGCAGTGATTCCCTGGCTCCTTCTCAAAAAGACAATCCCCAGCAATTAAAGACTGTTTTCTGGCCCAATACAGAGCTGGAAATGAAGTCATGCTCTGGATTCCACCCTCTCCCTGCACCTTGCTATCTTCTCTTGCTTTGCGTGATCATTTTAGGTGGGGGATACCTCCAACAGCGTTTTACATGAGGAAAGGAAGCCTGGTGGATAACACCAAAGACCCATCTAGTCCAGCATCCTATTCTCAAAAGCACAACAACATTCTTCCCTAGCAACTAGTATTCAGAAGCACACTGCCTCTGACAGTGGAGAAAGAACACAACCATTAGCAGTCATTGATAGCCTTATCCTCCATGAATAACACTGGTCAACAACAAATTTGTTGTCTGCATTTTTTCAGCTGATTTAGGACGAATCTGATGCGCTGAATCCAAAAATCACATTGGTTTTGCTCAATCAGGTCAAGTTTTTGAGTTATGGCCACATGTCATTTTTTTACATTTTTGTTCACATGTACGCTTGTGTGGAGCATTTTAGAAGAAGTTGGTGGGGTAAAATGCCATGTCGAATAATTGTTTTGATTGGAAATGATTATTTTAATGACAAGAAGTATTCAGGTTCGATAGTTCTGGGTGATTATGTCGAAAAGGGATCAGTTTGAAGTCATAAAACCTCAAAATCTTTCATAAATTGGTGCGGCAAAGCATAAAGTTGGGGGATCAAAACCCCTGGCTCACTCGAGTACACTGAAGGAGAACTATGAAGCAGTAAAGTATGTGCTGGAGAAAATTGGTTATGATCAGCATAAGTGGTTTATTTGTGTTGACCTGAAGATGGTGAACTTTTTGTTGGGACAACAGTCTGGCTTCACCAAGTACCCATGTTTTCTGTGCATGTGGGATAGTAGGGACCGTGCTCAGCATTACACGAAGAAGGATTTCCTTCCTGTGCGGGAGGAAATGGTGCCTTGCAGAAAAAGGAATGTCATCAACGACCCTCTGGTGGACAGAGACAGAATACTCTTCCCACCGCTGCACATCAAGCTCGGCTTAATCAAGCAGTTCACCAAGGCTCTGGACAAGGATGGTGACTGCTTCACTTACTTGTGCCAGGCTTTTCCAGGATTGACCATGAAGAAGTTGAAAGCTGGCATCTTTGACGGTCCTCAAATCCATCAGCTCATCAGAGATCCAGAGTTTGGACACTCAATGAACGAAGTGGAACTGGAAGCGTGGAAAGCATTTGTTCTGGTAGTGAAGAACTTTCTTGGTAACAATAAGGCCAGAAACTATGCAGAACTTGTCAACAACATGCTGACTGCTTTCAGAAACCTGGGCTGCAACATGAGCGTCAAGATGCACTACCTATTTTCACATATGGACCGGTTTCCTGAAAACCTGGGTTAAATGAGTGACGAGCAGGGGGAGAGATTCCATCAGGACATGAAAGAGATGGAGACCAGGTATCAGGGTTGCTGGGACGCAGTCATGATGACTGACTACTGTTGGACTCTGAAGAGAGACCTCCCTGCCGCTGAGCATTCCAGGAGTTCCAAGAAACGGAAGTTCAAGCCCTGAAGTTTGAAAAATGGTGAAGCAACATGCAATTTACGTGTACTTACCTTTATCAATGCCCACCATTCAGTTTACAGTAATCAATGTTTCTATCAGGTAATCAATATATGTTGTTGGAAAAACATTTTTTCTCTCTTAAAAACATATTTAGGATTATATGTGTTGACAAAAATCAGCTGATAATGCCACAAAAATGTAATTGATTTTGTCACAAGATCTGATTTTTTCAAATCAACATAGCACAAAAACCTGACCTGATGGAGAGAAACGGATGCCATTTCCTGATTTAGCAGTGCAAAAATACCCTAAATCAGTTGTAGAAATCTAGACAACATTCAAAAAGTAAAAAATTGTTGCCCAGTGTAATCTTTTAAAGCCATGCAAGCGAGTGTCTGTCACTGTCTGTTGTGGAAGTGGGTTCCACAGTTTATATAGGGTGCAGATGGAGAGGATTTGGTTCACCATCCTTCAGCCACTGAAACAGCAGTTTCTCCATTCCAGTGGTTCTCCAACTTTTTTCTCTGGGCCACACTTTCAGAATAAAAAATTGCTTGCTCCACACTGATTTTTTTTTTTTATTGATATGAAATACCTTGGGAAACAAAAAGAAACAACTCCTAGCAGTGCTTGATTTATAACATAGAACACAACTACTTTATAATATGATCATGAGGCATCCAGAAAGTATAAAACAATGCAACTACATAAGAACATGAATCATTCTCAAAATATATTGATTGTCCTCGAATCTTCATGCTACACTTGCTATCCTCTCTTGCCACAACAATGAGAACCACTCTGAGAACCCTCTGAGAACCACTGCTCCAGTCCTTCGTTTCCTGTCCCTCCTCCCTGGACTCCGTTTTTTCCTTTTATGTTGTGTCTATTAGATTGTGACCAATGAATAAATAG